CCAGCCCCAGCTCCACTCAGCCCTGGCTCCTCGCCCTCCTTGCTCAGTGCCCAGCACAGTAGCTGCTCCAAGGAACGCTGTGATCCACAGTGCCACAGGCCTCCCCCCAGGAGTGCTTGTGCTTCAGCACTGTAAAACATCAGGAAATGTTTTACAGGGGGATTTCCATGGCCCTCATGCCAGCACAGAGGCGGCACGCTGCTCTGGAGGAGGAGAAGGAGGCAGAGCCCTGAGGCAGGCTGCAGGATCCGTGCCTGCTGCTTCTSCACAGAACCAGAGTKGGGTCTGGAATTGCACCRGAGYCATCCCGGYGGGCACAGCTCTGKGCTGCCATCAGGATGCTGCCTGGRGGTCTGGCTGCAGTCATTGGAAAARCAAACCTSTCTCTGTTAKGTACARTGMARRTGGGTTAGAGCCTCCTAAASATCAGGAACTCASCAGAACCAAATTTCAGAGCAGGAAACAGAACAGCCCAATTTGGGGTAGCGCCGACCAGGGCACTGAAAACTTTGCTCATCCCCCAAAAGAGCTCTCTAAATGTCCATTTTTGAGCAGGAACACACTCAGCAGGTGTCCCTGGAGGTGTGGGGAGCAGAGGGGTGCAATGTAAACCGGTGAGCACAGCCAGGGGTGCTGAGGCTCTTCCTACAACACGTGCACACATTCAGCTCAACACTCAATTCCCCTCTTATTTCCATGTAAATGCATGCAAATGAGGGTTCACAGCTCCTTCCGCCACAGACTCTGACTGCCAGCTTTGTAAACACAAATTTCCTGGGTCACAGGAGCCCGGTGAGCCATGAGCTRCTGTGCCAATCTGCTTCTCCAGACCACGGCAGAGCCAAAACCTGAAGCCCTGAGCAGCACCTGGGGCTTTCTGCTTCGCCATATTCACAGGAATCATCTGCCAAGGGGAGCTTCCTGCAGGGATTCCCAGTGCTCTGGCTCTCCCACCGWGACTGCCTGGTGAACCTGAGCCCTGGAGAGCCAGGAGCAGCACTAACTCCAGCAGCAGAGGAAAACAAACTGGGAAAAGGATCCTGCAGCCTCAGCTCTGGGCGTGTGGCAGGATGGAGCACCCAGCCAGCAGCAGGGAGTGAGCAGGCAGCCAGCCTGGACTGAGCCCATCCAAATTCTGCCTTTTTGTGGGATGACAGCACCCTGCACCACCAGGACTGGGGGACCAAGYTCTGAGCTCTGAATAGTGCTCATGGTGGTTTGCAATGATGCACCATGCCACCCTGCTGCCCGTGAGCAYGTGGGGAAGCTGCAGTCCCAGAGGACCCTCCTGGAGGCAGGCTGGCAGTGGCTGTGACTGGAAGCCTGTCCATTTTTACCAGTTCCTAGGCAAAGTCAGGCACTTCCATCCTTGGGGAGATGACAGGTGACCCTCACAGCGCACAGGRGAAGGGTCTCTGCTGCCAGTGCCACCTCTCTCAGCTGCACAGTCCCCTCTGTCCCACTCCTGAGCTGTCCCCATAGGCCAGGAGGGCTGACCTGGCCCTCGGCTCTGTTGCTCACTGCAGTCCCAATCTCACAGCATAGGAAGAGCTCTGCCAGCTCACATCTAGCTTGGCTGATGGAAATACGGGGTTTATGCTCAGCTCAGCTGCTGCCTGCCCACACTGGCTGGTTTTGGCTGTGCTCGGGGGGTCGCTGCCCCTGCATCCCCAGAGGGGTGCTGTGCACCCTGGCTCCTCCCTGCCGCGTCCCTCAGGGTGGTGCTGCTGCTCTCGCAGCGGCTGCGCAGGGGCCGGGGAGCTGATCCAGCTAAAACGAGCTTTTTTTTTTTTCCAGGGTGGTTTCCAGGCATGTGGCAGCACTGGCATTCCCAGGCCCGCGGTGCTGCTGCCATCCTCCCACCCAACCTCCACAGTCCTGGCCCCAGAGCGGGGTGAGAGGATGGAGTCAGGAGTTCACCCGCTCCAGGGTCACCCATGGGCTTCAGACAAAATCATTCCAACTGGAGAACCTTCCAGGCAGATGTTTCACTGCTAGTGCCCAATCCTTGCGGGATCTCAGCACAGACCTGTCCACCCAAAACAGCATCGTAAGCACTGCCCCAAATTCACAGACCTTCAGGTGACAGGATTTTTTTTGCGTGGGTACCTGCTGACCCCTGCTCAACAGAGTGGATGCTCCACGCGTGCCTTGTCACGCAGCATTTTCTTCTGCTATTTTAATGCCTTTTATTRTCAGCCGCCTCTTTAAACCCAAACCGCATCACCTGAACACCTCTCTTCCATTCCCAGGGCTGTTCAAGGGAACACACAACACGCCTGAGCCCATAAAACGCTCCAGCAGCCAGGGGTGACCAACCCCCGGTCACTCACAGCCCCATCTCCCATCGCCCTGGCTCTGCCAGCACCGGGACCGCGGCTGAAACGCCATCTCGACCCTCACCCTGCGAGCCCTCACTGACCCGTGGCATCTGGCACCGGATCCAGCAACAACGCTTCCCCTGCACATCAGCACCGGCTGCTCGCACCACATCTAATTATCGCCATAATTCCAATTAACGATTCCTCCGCTGATCCCCCGTTCCAAACGCCGCAGCGCCCGCACTTACCAGCCTGCCGAGCCCCCATGGGTGCAGCCACAGCAGCTTAAATGTCCTGTCCTGCCATCGCCCCCGTGTCTGGGACCAGCGGGAGGGCAGCAGGCACAGCCACARGACACAATCAGYACCGAGCTCCAGMGGRGGGATCCATATCCCAGSCAGCTCTCCACATCCCCTGCCCCGCAGCAGGAAGGTAACGCGGTGGCAGGGGACACACACACCGCTTCCCTGCCAGCCCCACGCACCTCCGGGGGAGGGGGGAGAGGGGATCCCACAGATTTCGCACAGCTCTCATTGTCTGAACTCATTATCCACGTTGCACAAGGCGAACCCGCAGTCAGATGCTGACACGGCTCGCGTTCCTCATTAGCAAGCCCACATTGCAAAAGCTCCATCGACACAAACATGCATGCTGAAGCCCTTACCTCCAAATTGTCACTCCCTCATCACTGCGGAAAAGATTCTACTGGGTTCTCAGATTTAAAATACTATAAGACCAACTACAAAATTCCTCAGTTCCTCCAGAGAAAAGTTACACACACGTTTCTGTCAAAAAAAAATGAAAAATATATTCATGGCGAGTTCATGGAGAAGTCTGGTGCATTTGGATGTTTTGATCACTCAGTTTTTTAAAGCAGGTCTCTAACAGGGTCCCAGGTTTTGCTCAGAGAAACAAACCCTTCTGCGATGTGCAGGATCTCAGCTCGTAAAGATCGCTCAGGCTAGTTCCTACTCCATCAGCCCACGCTGCTCCTGCGTATGCAAAGCAGAAAGTATGTGATCATATCACAGCAATTTGCACATTAATAAATCCTGGTCTCAATGCGTAGACTCCGTCCCCGTGCACTGGGTAGGGGCTTTTTATTATTATTATTACCAGAGTATCCAGCTTTGTAAAGGCATCCAGTGCAAACTCCTGCATGAGGGAATTCCACCCCACTAGTACCACCTCCTAAGACAATATCCAGCCAAAATATTGTGACTGTTGCAAAACCCGGACTGGAGCTCCACAAAGGACCTTCCAGCCTCGCATCCAGAGCCAACGGGGTCTCAGTAAATTACTGCAGAGTGCCACACCATCGAGTTGTCTTTGTAGTTTTTTGTTTTTTATTTATGACAGTTAATTTTGAGTTATTACTAACATTTTAGTGGTAAGTGGCATGTGAAGTCATCAGCTGTCACAACTGCATCTGTTAATAAACATGCCAGATATTAAAAGCAGCTTATTATCCTCTGGAGGGGGGAAGGCACGAAGGCAAAGAGCTCAGAGCCTGGATCTTTTTGCATTGCTGGCTGTGCTGCAGGAGGAAACAGTCCTGCTCAGGAGAACAGCGTGGCTGCAGCTGGACWGCCTAGCACACCTCCCTCCAGCACACCTGAGCAGCCCAGGAGCTCTYCTCCCAGTGCTGCCAGCTCCCTTTCCCTCCTCCACCTGCACTTCAGGACAGACACATCACAGGGCAGACTCCGCTTCAGGCAGGTGCACAGGGGACATCAGGGCTCAGGTACCTTCCCTGAGCCCCACCATGCCCGGTGGGATGAGCAGATCCTGCGCCGGGGCTCAGGGAGCTGCTGGGGCTGCCAAGAACCATCCTGCACCCTGCCCCAGTGTCCCTGCACAAACCATACAGAGGAGCTGCTGTCACCTGCCCCAGTGTCCCTGCAAAACCACACAGAGGAGCTGCTGTCACCTGTCCCAGTGTCCCTGTACAAACCACATAGAGGAACTGCTGTCGCCTCCCCAGTGTCCCTGCAAAACCATAGAGAGGAGTTGGTGTCACCTGCCCCAGTGTCCCTGTCCCTGTACAAACCACACAGAGGAACTGGTGTCACCTGCCCCAGTGTCCCTGTACAAACCACACAGAGGAACTGCTGTCGCCTCCCCAGTGTCCCTGCACAAGCCATACAGAGGAACTGCTGTCACCTCCCCAGTGTCCCTGCAAAGC